GAGGGAGCTCTCTGAGCCTGGGGGAACCCACAAAGTCTAGCCCCTGCTAACTCTTCTGTGGCCCCCTGTACTTCGTACCCCTCATCACACTGACCCTTGCTTCCTTTATCCATTCTCCATTCATTTGCCGTTATTTTTGAGTAGTTACGTGTGCCAGGTGCTGTTCTGGGCTTGGGGCATTGAGTGTTGCCCCCCCCCCCCCCCCAGGCTGAGAGCTCTGCAGGGGCAGGAACGGGTCTTGGCCACTGTGGTGGGTGCTCAGGTTAGGTTGCGTGAACCCAGGCAGCGTCCCAGGAGGGGGAAACCGCACAGGTCCCGAAGTAGGACAGAGCACGGTGTGTTCAGGGAACTGGAGTGCGGTCCCTGGAACTGGAGCAGAGGGTGGGAGGGGAGCAGGGCTAGGACGGCCCAATGAGCTGGGCTGAGGTGGGACTTATCCCAGAGGCAGAGGGAGCCATGGAGAGGCTTGGAGCAGCGTGGCGAGGGCAGAGCATCTGCAGGAAGGTCCCAGGTTGGCACTGGTGTGGGGTAGTCATGGAGCTGGCCAGAAGTTTGGGGACACCAGCTACTCCCTGTCCTCACGGCCAGGTGCTCTGGGCATCAGCTGGGCAGAGTCTCAGGGCCACTGTGTGGGTGAAGTGACAGGGGTCCAGGAAGGAAAAGGGCTCACCCGCGTCACCCAGTTAGCCCGTGGCAGCACTAGCCCTTGAGCCAGCCCTGCCTTGGGTAGGTGTGGGTGAGGCCAGGTGTGTGCCCATTTCTTCAGCCTGAGTCTGGGCTCCGCCCTGTGTGGGCACCTTCCCTGCATGAGGCCAGGCTGGTGGTGTGGGCCATTTCCCACGCTGGGTTCTCCCAGCTGATGGGAGAGCAGAGCCCCCAGCGTGGACGTGTCCTGGGTGCCAGGGGCCGAGCTGGGTGTCACACAGGCCGGTCTCATTCAAGCTCACAGTCATAGGGGGTGGGTACTAGGTACCCTTTTCACAGACGACTGAGCAGAGGTCAGGGAGGTGGAGTCTTTGCCTGAGGTCACGCAGCAAGTGCTGGCTCGGGAACTGAACCATGCCCTCTGACCCACCATGCCCTCTGACCCCAGAGTGGCCACGTAGCTGTCCTGTTTTTTTGTTTTTGTTTTTAAATTTATTTCAGAGAGGAAGGGAGAGAGAGAGAGAACGTCAATGATGAGAGAGAATCATTGATCGGCTGCCTCCTGCAACGTCCCCTACTGGGGATAGAGCCCGCTACCTGGGTATGTGCCTTTGACCGGAATTGAACCTGGGACCCTTCAGTCTGCAGGCTATCACTCTATCCACTGAGCCAAACCAATCAGAGCTTAGCTGTCCTGTCTTTAAAAAAAAAAATTAAAAAAAATGTCAATGGGAGAGAATCATTGATTGGCTGCGTTTTGCATGCCCCCTACTGGTGATGGAGCCCACAACCTGGGCAGGTGCCCTAGACGGGAATTGAACCTGGGACCCTTCAGTCTGCAGGCCGATGCTCCATCCACTGAGCCAAACTGGCAAGGGCTAGCTGTCCTGTCTTGAATGGTGAGGGTAGTCTTTGAACTTGACATCAGCCCTGTTCTTGAGCAAGGGGGGAAGTGGCTCTCGTCTCCTGGCTGTGGTGTCCTCATCTCTCAGAGGGGCTGGCAGTCCTCACACCGCCTCTCCCCCGGCCTGTTAGGATGGTAAAAAGCAGGTAGTGAATAGGTAGCCAATTTCTTGCCAGTAGAGGCCGTGAGAAGCTGTTACTGCAACTGGCGTCCGTCCTGGGCAACACAGCCTTCTCCGTACCCTTGGCCTTGGTCCTTGTGGGGGCCTGCAGCACAAACCCAGGTCTGTGTGTGGCCAGAGAATACCAGGTTCCCTGGAGCCCAGGGCTTGGCTGGGGCAGCCCCAGCACAACACTGTGTTCCAGGGGCACCCATGTGCCTGCTGGGCTGCCCCCTGGTGCAGAGCCCCGTCTCGGGGGTCAGACGAAGCTGGGTTCAGGTTCCTGCCTCGGCAGGTGGGGGGCGTGGTGTTGGGACTGGGCCAGAGACTTGGATGTTAGTCCCGCTCCCACTCGTTCTGACTAAGGTGTCCACAGCTGCCTGGCCCTGCACCGTGGCTCTCATCGGCACCTCCTGTCTGGCTCAGGTGCTGATTACCTTGCACGGGGCTGGCCCCTCCGAGGCTCATGCTCTGCCCTCATCCCGTTTTCCCTGTCGCACCCAGGTGATCTCTCTGGCCACCTCCTTGCCTACCTGAGCCTCGGCCCTGTATTTGTCATTGTCGGTTTCGTGACCCTCATCATCTTCAAGCGGGAGCTGCACACGGTGAGTGAGCCTGTCCCCCCAACCCAGGCCCTCCCACTGCTCCCCGCTGCCCCCCTCCACAGAAGGGGTCACCCCAGGTGCTGCGCCTTCCCTCCATGCCACCGCCTTTCTGGAGGTGTGTGGAGCCTCCGGGCTGCTTCCAGGTGGTTCACCAGTTGGGCTGGGAAATTCAGTCAGGGGCCAGGTCTTTGGGGCTGGGCGGTGGCCAGCAGGCACAGAGGCCCGGCTGACCACACCTCTTCCCGACAGATCTCCTTCCTCGGGGGCCTGGCTCTGAACGAGGGGGTCAACTGGCTGATGAAACACGTCATCAAGGAGCCGCGGCCCTGCGGAGGTCAGGCCCAGGCTGCGGGAATCGGGGGTCCACCAGGTTGGGGCATTACTGGGATTGCAGCCTCCCATCATGCCCTGTTCTCTCTCCCCCAGATCCCCACGCGACAGTGGGCACCAAGTACGGGATGCCCTCCAGCCATTCCCAGTTTATGTGGTTTTTCTCCGTCTATTCCTTCCTTTTCCTGTATTTAAGGTGAGCTGCTTTCCGGTCGGAGTGGCCCGGACTGGCCCAGGCCAGCCTTTGCCAGGGACTCCCTGCGAGTCCTTTGGATGCCACGTGGGGCTTGGCCCCTTCCGGGGTGGGAGGAGCTGCAGCCAGGGCAGAGGGCGCCGGGGAGCCTGTGGAGGGGCCGGGGGCTGTTTGGGAGGCCTGGGCTCCCGGCTGTGGGCTGAGGCCACCTGACAGGCCTGTCTTCCCAGAATGCACCAAACGAACAATGCCAGGTTCCTGGACTTGCTGTGGAGGCACGTGCTGTCCCTGGGCCTCCTCACCGCGGCCTTTCTGGTCTCCTACAGCAGGTACGGAGGGAGGGCGAGCCCCCACATCCTGCACCGGGTCTTGCTGGGTCTTTGGTCCCTGTGGACCTCACTGTAGACCTGAGTCTCAGAGCCCGTAGGGTAGGGCGGGAAAAGGGTCCCAGCCTCTTACTTTGTAGGGTCAGGGCTCCACTGCCCCTTGCGGCCCGGTCCTGCTGTCTCCTCCCAGCTGAGCCCAGGGCCCTGGGGTCACCCCCGCACACCAGCTTCTGCTCCAGCGCCTGGAGGAGCCCCGTGCAGACAAACTCGGAGTTCAGGGCTGGGGAGAAGGGCGGCGAGTCTCATTTCTCTTGGAGTCGGGAGCGGCGCTGTCGGGGCTGAGGCTGTGTGCACAGGAGGTCATGCCTGTCTGTGCGTGTCGCCCTGTGCGCACACAGGTCCCCGGAAGCTAGCGCTTGGGCGTGGGGGACCGTGCAGGCCTGTTGCTGGCTGGCTCTCATGGACTTCCCGTGTCCTTGGCGCAGGGTCTACCTGCTGTATCACACCTGGAGCCAGGTGGTGTATGGGGGCGTCGCCGGAAGCCTCATGGCCATCGCTTGGTTCGTCTTCACCCAGGAGGTCCTCACTCCTCTCTTCCCCAGGATAGCGTCCTGGTAACTGCTTCCTGCCCTGCTGCTGCCCCGCCTTCCCCGGCCCCCTCTGTGGAAGGGCCGTCAGTGGAGGACCTAGGGTTTCCTACCCCAGCCTCGGTCTCCCTGGGAGAGCCCTAGTGTCCAGGTCTCTGGTGGGCACGAGGCAGCAGGCCCTGTTTGCCTGGCTTTGTTGCCCAGGCGTTTCCTCACGCCCAGAAGCTAAGGTGGCTTCTCTGTCCTCACTTCGGCTCTCAGGGACTCGGAAAGCAGCCTGAGTCCCGCGAGCTGTGTGCACGGTGGGGGCGGCCCTGCCTCAGTGTCACAGGTGGCACTTGTAGTTCTCGCAGTGGCCCCGGGGGAGGGGGCACAGTTCGGGCCAGGACTCTCTGAGCGGGAGGGGGCGGGGGTGCGGGGGAGGAGGTGCATGGCTGGCCCCAGGCACTGATGGGGGACTCTGGCTTGATGACAGGCTGGTGCCCTGACATGGCCTGGGGTTCGGGGTGTCTGTCTCCGCAGGCCTATCTCTGAGTTCTTTCTAATTCGAGACACGAGCCTCATCCCCAACGTCCTCTGGTTTGAGTACACAGTCACCCGGGCAGAAGCCAGGTGAGTTGGGGTTCGGCTCTCACTGGTCCTGGCTCAGTGGGGCTGCCACTGCTCCTGTTCTTAGCGGCGCCCCGACACCCAGGCACTTGGCTAAGCACTGGTTTTCACTGCCTCGTGGCATCCTCCTCGGGACCGCATTTACAGATGAGAAAACGGAGGCTCAGGGATGAGAGGGGGAGTCACTGTGGATGACTTAGAGATTGTGGGTGGGGACGCTGGGCTGGGAACCCGGGCTGTCGGGCCCAGGGCCATGCTTTTAACCCCTGTGGCCCAGGACCAGAGAGCTGGGCAGCCGGGATTCTCAGGGTGCTTAGTCCAGACATGCGCCCCATAAATGGGTAAACAGAGGTGCAGTTGCACAGCAAGTTGGTGCAGAGCTGGGCTTTGGAGTCTACTGACTGGAGTCTCCCTCCGTGGGTTGGTGCCAGCCGGGGTTCAAAGGGGAGCGAGCCTCTGGGGTTTCCCCGAGGCGGCGGTGAGAGGAGTCACAGGGCAGGCAGGCCAGGCACCTGAGCAGCCTGGAAATGTGTCTGGTGCTTCCTGGTCCAGATTATCCCAAGGAGCTTAAAAGGAAAGCCCTGGATCCAGGAGGAAAGGGGACTGGAGGTGGGGAGGGCAGGCAGCCCCACTATTGGAGAGGCCCGGCTGGCCCAGGCTCTCCCCCTGACGCTCAGAATGGTCCTGTCCCAGGGGCCCTGCCATGCCTGGGCCTGCCCCTGTCACCTGGCTCCACTGGCCACCACCTGCCTTCATTTACCAACATTTCTGTATCAGCATGCTCTGTGCCAGCCCGTGTGCCGGGGGAGGCAGAGTGAGACGGCCACAGCAGTCAGGGGAGCCGCGAAGAATAAGGCGCCTCCTGTGTGATGCGTGCCCTGGGCCTGAGCTCGGGACAAACCCGACGTGGGGGCCGGTGGTTGGGCCTGCTGCTCAGGGGAGACAGACCTGAGTGTGGAGGGAGTGCGTGCCTGCCCAGGTTGGGGGGTGGGCGGAGAGTGTTCTCAGAAGAGGGAAGAGCATGTGCAGAGCTTCCAGGCGGGAGGAAGTTTGGTGAGTCAGGGACTGGGGCTACTGGGAGGGGCACGCACCCATTTTGATGGGACTGTGGGTAGGGAGGGGACCGCTAAGGGGGCCACTGAATGCCAGGGGTCCCCTCCTCTGACCCTCAGGCGTCCTCACTGCAGACTCCCACCCGTTTTGCAGGAACAGACAACGCAAGCTGGGGACGAAACTGCAGTGACTGGTGAGGGCGGCTGGGTCCACCTCCATCTGGCCTGCACGCTGCCATGCGGGACGGACAGAATGCAGAGGAATGAAGCGGAGACCTCGACAGACCCGTCGCCAAGTGGAGCCTTTTGTTTTCTTACTTTAATTTTAATGAACCAGGTGGCCCGAAGGGCCAGCCCAGCCCCTCGGCCAGGATCCTGGAGCGCCTGCTGACGGGGGCCACACAGCCAGCTCCGCGCTGCCCTGCCGCCAGCCCTGGCCTGGTGGGAAGCGCTGGGGTGGGCGCTGGGGTGTGGGTAGAGGAGGAGGCCTGGCACCTGTGCTCGCAGGGCAGGAGATCCGGGGGCGTGAAAATACACACTATTTATTTTTGGTTTTGTTAGCGGCAGGCAGGATGTTGGAGATGGGGCCGGAAGAGCCCGCTCTGCGGTGGCAGCCCCGAGTACAGAGGGCCCAGGCCCTTTGCCCTGAAAGGTGGCCTGGGGGCCCACAGAGGGGCGCACCCTGTGCCCCCCTGCCACCATTGCCATTCCAGAACCTCATGCAGTGTTTCCGAGTCTGGGGGGCCAGGCCTAGAGAGTGCGCTCGTCTGGCGGCTGCTATCGTGTCCTACCCCGCACTGACCCTTACACCACAAGGGCTTTCTCTGGTCCCTGTCCCCCAGACAGTGGTCCCTTCCTGACAAAGAGCCTGCACATGTGGGTGAGCAACCCAAGCTGTTTACAGCTCTTTGTGGTCCTGCCAGCGGAGCGGTTAGTCTTCATCTCCACGAGAACACAGTGCAGCGGAACCGGAGCGGGTGAGGCGGGCCCGTGGGTGCCTGACACCCGCGCCCTCCCTCCCCTTTGCTCTGAACATTCCTTACCCTTCCCGACCCCTCTGAGAGGCTGGGAACTGCCCGGGCACCCTGGAGCCTCTTTTGGGGTGTGGCACAGAGCCCCACTGTCCAGCTCAGAGGACGGCTCCTCCTCAAGGGACTTGATCTCTCCGTCTCTGTGAAGTGGAGTTATGGAGTGGACATGCTTCCAGACTCTTGGAAGTTTCTAGAACTGAACCAGGCTGCTCGGGACCTGTGTTCGAACCCCGCCCCTCCTTTCTTTGTGGAGGTTCGTAATCTGCTGCTGAAGCACAATGTTCGGTGCTTTCCTTTCTCAGTTGTTAAAGACCGTGTCCAAAAGCCATTCCAGAGGCCGGGGCCAGGGGCCTGTTTCTAGGGAAGGTTGGTCAGTCCCCACATTCCCAACCCCCCTTCCTTCTTATTTTTTACATTTTGCCTGAGACAAGCCAAGTGTGAGGTGGTTTGATTTAAGAAAAATCAATGAAATTGTTTACTATTGTTTTAAAATAAAATCCTGAACTCTGGCAGCTTGAGCACATGGTGACTTGAGCTCCTGAGGAGGCTGGAGACACGTGACCCCAAGGAGCAAGGACCATAAAAACATAAAACCGTAAGCATCTGAGACAGCTAGTCCCTCCAGCCCCCAGTGCCGCCGTGTGAATGGCTCTGCGACATTTCCCCCTGAGGAGCCCTCACTGCCATGGAGAGCTGGAAGCGCCCCCTTTCCGGTCCTGGGCGCCTCCCCGCGTGGTCCTGGCTGGCTCTGGACCTGCCCTCAGCCTCATTCCTCCATGACGGCCCCGGGGACTGGGGACAGGTGTACGCCTCTCCAGGGAGCACCTCCGCTCTGTGTTCACTCCAGTGTTTCTGGCGTGTGCATGGCTGAAGGGCTTGCTTTGGAAGAAATGGCTGCAAACAGCTGGGTTTTTAGAGGCTTGTGGGAGTGAGGTGATAGAAGTCGATCCCAAGGGCTGGCCAACATGGGAATCTAATCCTTCCCTGATTCACTGAGCTGAGACGCAGAATGGCCACACGCTAGAGTAGGGGGATCAGAAAGAATTCCGTCCCCACATGAGCTCGAAGGCTGTGGGTCCGGGCCCCCGTGGTCCACAACCTTGACGTTCAGTAAACGTGACCTCCCCCGAGATACAAGGCCCAAGCAAACCAACCTCTGGAGGAAGGAGCCTCCGTCCTAGACTTCAGTCACTCGTATGAGCAGTTTTTAAGTTGCAGTGAAGAGGATGTAGGTAAAGACGGCCAAGAGAACACGGCACCGTGATGGAGAAACAGCGGAAAACGGGTCACGGAGACAAGCCTGCCAGTACCTCGTGCTGGAAGATCAGCCACAGACGAAATGTTGTGTCTTAAAGACACAAAAGACAAACTTGAAAATGTCTGCGGGGCTGAGAAACTCTAAGGTGAACCCTGCAAGACTTGTAAGTGGATCAAAACAGAAAAATCCAATCGCTGGAAAGCAAGCTGAGCTCAACAGGTAGGTTTCAGGTGAAGAGAAAAGTAAACTGCCGACAGGGCAGGACCGGAGTGGAGAGGCAAGGGCTGGGAGCCCTGAATGTCCCCAAGCCCCAGCTACACTCAGTGCTTTCACCTCGACGGACACCCCCGACTTCTTTTCCTGTTGGTCACAACGTCTTGCACGCTCCAGCTCCTAAGGGTCTGGAATGCCTACTCTTCTCCACCTCCCCGACCCCTCTAGGTCCCGTCCCCCCTCTCCCTGCCTGGAGACTGCAAAGCTCCCCCACGGTTAGGCCCCCTCCAGCCCCTGGGCATCGTCCTACATGCCCTCCTCCGGGTCTCGGACAAAGCACTAGCCGTCAACGTGGCCTCTGTGGCCCCCTGTCTAGCCCTCACCCCCATCGCAGGCTTCGCTACAGGCCTGCCCTTGCTTCTGGCCACTGCACTTTCCCCACGAAGAGCCAAAGTCAAGTTCATGCCAATCTGGATAGACAAACGGGATCTAGGTAAGAGCCAAATCTTTAATTCATTCGTTTATTACATGTTCACATTTCAAGTAATGTGTTGCACAAAATATATTACTTTAGAACAGTTCTTTTTCGCTCATAAAAAAAAAAATCAAGTTCTTCATCTGCATCATTGGCATCAGGGTCCTGTCCCTGGCCCACCTCTGGGCCAGCTGACCGAATTCTCCAGGCCCACCGGCTGAGCGGTTTGAGGCCCAGCAGCACTTTCTGGATTTCACAGGCGATGCGGTCACTGGGAATGTTACCCCAGGCCCCGAGTGCCCGCTGGCATCACGCTGAGACAGCGGATTAAGAAAAACCTGTAGGTGTGTCATCTCCCCAATCCTTCCTTCCCGTGTGTCCCGAGACCCTAGGCACCTGCTTGTCCCACCCCAGCACTCCCAGGAGTAAGGCAGTCACATCCTCGGGAGCAGTTGCTAAAGGTCTTCGTTTCCTTGCCTTTCCCTCCCCACATGCCACCCGGGACCTCTCGGCCAGCATCTCACACGGACGGTGCTAACTGTGTTTCGGGTGCTAACTGTGCCTTTCCCCGTGGACTTGTGGCGCTAAGGAGTTGAGTAAGCCTTCATACAAGACCTGTAACACCCACGGGCAAGGGCATGCCCTCACTGCTGAAGGAGAGTTTGGGGAAGCCCTGCCTTATGTTCAGACCCGTGTGGTTCTTAGAACTTGAGTTGTGGGAGTTGCAGGTGTCTGTGCAGTGCCCCTGGCCTGGCTCACTCTGCCCGCGGCCCCACCCTAGTACTACTCCCCCAGCACTCACCAACGCCTGCTGTGGGCCCCCACTTCCTGGGGCTCCCAGGACCCCCAGAGGGAGCAGCATCACCCCCACTGTACAGATGAGGACGGCAGGCTGTGCATTGTCATGGTCTTTTCCTGGTCTTCCCACTCCGGCCCAGGAAAGGGCATTCATACCGCCTTCTCCTGGCATCACTCCACCCTGCCGGCCTTGCTGGGGGGCGGGGGGGGGGTGAGAAATGGCCAGGCCCAGGGCAACACCACTCCCCCATTGTGTGGGTTCCGCCTCCTGCTCTCTGGGGCTTCGGGCAGGTGGCACACCCTCTCACCCACACTGGAGAGGGAAGGCACCGAGTCCCCACCTTGTGGCTGTGGGAGATTTGGTGGGACCAGCAGGCCCAACATGGGTCAGTTCGACTCAGTGCCCTAGTCCAGCCAGCACCTTCCTGTGCCTTCCAGGCTCGTGTTCACCCATGGCCTCCCCTTCTCCACCCCTGCCCTGGTCATCTGGGATGTGGGCTCCCGATACCCTGACCTGAGGTATGGCTTCTGGGACTCTGTTCTGCTGTTCAGTGGTCTGGTGACTAACCTCTGTGCCTGTTTTCTCGTCTGAAAAAAGGAGAAAACCACAGGCCCCATCCTCTGTGACTGTCCCGGGTCAGCCAGGCCAAGAAGCCCCTCAGACAGGCTCCATCGGCTCGCCCACCTGCACCCGCATCTGCTCTGGTTTTCACGTGCCTCGGGGCCAGAGGGTCCCCTGGGGTGAAAGACTGACTTTGGCAAGACACCCAGCTTCTGCCAGGTGCCTGGGGGTGGGGACAGGCGGGTTTAGGGTTCTGATCAGGTGGTTGTGTGATCTGGGGCATCACTCCTGTTGGGCTCAGTGGGGGCTGCAGGATGAGGCCTTAGGCCCTGGTGTCGGCCACACCTGGCCCACCAGACCCGGGCCGGCAGGGTCCTGGGAGAACTGTCCCCACCATATGCCCACGGTACTGGAGAGGCCCGAGTCCCGGGCAGCTGGGAGTTGTCTGAGAATGGGGTCTGCAATCTGGTGCCTGAGGACACCTCCTCTTGGCTCCTCGGAGTCCCTGGGGCCATGGCTGCTTGGACACCAACTCCCAGGCAGGGAGAGCCGGGAGGAGGCCCGGTGCCCCCCAACCTGCCTGCCTCCGCAGCTGGAACGCCTCTTCACCAAGACATTTTCCCTTTATTAATTACCTCGCGTGGTACTATTATACAACCAGGAACACTGTTCAGCCATGTTCTCCAGAAGAGTACGGCAGTCCTGTGGGAGAGGCCCCGTCCCCAGTCCGCCTCGCACCCTGGCCTCGGCCGTGGGGAGGCCTGGAGTCCCCCACTCCAGATAGTCCTGTCTTCAGGCCTTTGGGCGTTTGAGGATTGGAGTACGGACCAGCCCAGATGGCAGGGCCAGAGCTGAGCTATCAGAGGACTTCCCAGGCTCGCTGGTGGGGATGGAGGTGACTGGCTCCTTTCCCAGAGGAAGGCTGCTCCGGGCGATACATGGGGCGCCTGGGCCTCTGTCCTGCTCAGCCTCTGAGCACAGCCCATGATGCTGGGGATGGCCCCTGGAAGGCACTGGGCGTGGGCCTGCGGGAGTCCACCCTGGCTTGGTCAGATCTGCGGGGCCCAGGGGGAGAGGGACAAAGGGGAGCCCTGGTGGGGGGCCCATCTGAAGTGGTTTGGCTGTGGCAGGGGCAGGGGGGCACGGCTCAGAGCTTGGCCCGGGGGTGGCTCTGCAGCAGCTCACGCATGTCCAGTAGCGCCTTCTCCAGGTAGTGCGCCATGCGGGCAGCGTTGGTCTCGGCACAGCTGTTGTAGGCCGACACCGAGAAGTTGATGTGCGACTCCATGGGGTTATAGCAAACGCCATAGCCGTCTGGGACCACAGGCCCAAAGAACATGACGCAGTCTGTCTTGGAGGGGACCTGGGGGTGGCACAGGACTCAGGCACTCGCCCCACCCACAGGTCCCTCCAGCTCCTCAGTGCACCAGCCTGCCTTCCCACGCTGCCTGACGCCTTTCCTCTTCTTCGGACAGGTGATCCCTCTGTCCTTCCGTGTGCAGTTCCGGTGTCACCCTCCAGGGGGCCTCCTCTACTGCTCCCTCCTCGGGACTTCCCTGACCCCTAGCACCTCCTGTGCTGCCAGCCTACACTGAGAGCCCCTGGGGAGGGATGGTGCAGTCCCTGCTGTGCCCCAGTACCCAGCACAGGCTGGCACGGAGCACACGTTCCTTCCTTCGTGTCTGACTGTGAATGAATGAAGCCGATTCTCCCCTGGGGGGTCCCCAACTCCTCAGCCTGAGCTGTAGTGAACCCCTGACCCGGCCCCTCTGCCAGAACTCAGCCGCTTTGCAGTGGCCCCTGGGGGCCTGTGTGGGCCACGCCACCACCAAGGTCTGACCACGTTCTAGACCTTGGCTCTCGTCAGTGCAGCCTTTCTACTCCAGCTCTGGTGGGTTCTGTTCCACCCCACCCTACCCCAGGGCACCCAGGGCAGTGGCAGGGACCCAGAGGGCAGGGGTCCCGGGGGCTCGGGCAGTGGCCCACCTGGCTGGTGGAGAGGTTGAAGTGCATGGCGATGGCGTAGGAGGTGTCCATGAAGATGTCAGGCATGCTCACCAGGTCCTCGATGGCCTGCAGCTTCAGGCCCAGCAGGTGCCGGTCCAAGGCCTCCCCGCGGATGGCCTGCAGAGGGGGCCCTGTCAGGAGCGGGGCTGCGGGACCACAGGGCGCTGCTGCCCTCCGCAGAAGCCTGTGGCAGCAACAC